AGAAAAGCATTGCCTTGGCAAATGTTTCAATATCAGTTACAGAAAATGTGAAACAGAGTTATCCTTGAAATATTACAAAGAATGTCATACATGAATTCCAATGATAAGGAACAATATTTTATAGTGAATCAAGGAAATGCTTACTAGAAAATATTAACTTCAATAACAAATCAAACAAATAGTCATTTGATGCTTTAGGTGAAACTAATTTAAATTTTCTAACCAATTGCTACAAGTGAAAATAACTTCTTGCTTTAACAGCTTCACAATACATGACATTAACATCAGCTTAAGTTTCTTTGGGGATTAGTTTTATGAAAACAATTCCAGTTAATAATGTTAATAGATGCTTATGCTTTAAAAGATCATATATGAAGAAATATAGTTTTAAGGTGAGCTATATTTATAGGATAAAGTGCTCAATATCAGAGATAGAGCATATGTAAATATAAAAGTGAACATTGAAGTCAACACTCAGAGGCGACAGGCTGTTTCATGCTAGATGCAATCTTCAGGCCATGTGTGTCGGGTTTTTTCTCGACTATTTATATATACAGGTCAGTGGTACATTGGCGGTAGTCCATTCTGATGGTTATTTTAGCTTGAGTGGTTTGTTTATTTATTTATTTGGGTTAATTTATTTTACTTGTTTTTTATTTATTGTTATTTTTTATTTTATATATTTATTTATTCTTTTCAGTTTTTGATGTTTTAGTAATATAGTAATAAGTTTTTGAGATGAGTTTAGATCATTTATTTAATAGGTTGTTTTGGTCTTGTAAGGTAATTAAAGTCATATTTTCATCCAATTTTTGAATTGATTGCTGTAGTCTATTCTACTTTATTTATTCATTTGAATTGATTAATTTTACTTGTTTTTTCTTATTTATTTTTTATTTTTATTTATTCTTTTTCATCTATTCTAATAGGAGTGGTTTGTTAATTTGTTTATTATTTGCTTGTGTTAATTTATTTTACTTGTTTTTTATTATTATTTTGTTTATTTTTTTATTCTTTTCAGTTTTCGGTTTTTAAGTAATATAGTAAAAATTAGTTTTCATGTCTGCATTTTGAGATAAGTTCATATTGTTCATTTAGTAGTTTATTTTGGTCTGGGAAGATAATAATAGCTATTTTTTCCTCCAAGCAAAGTTTGCAGGCTTTGGATTCATTGCTATAGGCTGATGGTCTTTTCTTTATTTTCCATGATACTTTTGGTGTGATTTATGTTTTTTTTTTAATTTACCACATATACTTAGAAAGCATTGTGCTGTTCATGTATTCAATATTTGTTAAATAGTAAATACATAATTTCACAAATAGTAAATTTTTACTACATGACTTAAAAATTGAAAACCAAAAAGAATAAATAAAAATATATAAAAAAATAAATAAACAAATTAACAAACCGCTCTAACTAAAATAACTGATAGAATAAATAAAAATAAATAAGCAAAAACAAGTAAAAATAATCAATCCAAATAAATAAATAAAATAATAAACAAATTAAAAAACTGCCCCTACCAAAATAATATTTAGAATAGACAACAGAAATCAATCCAAAAATTGGATGAAAATATAATTTTAACTACCTTCTCAGACCAAAACAAACTATTAAATAAATGATCTAAACTTATCTCAAAAATTTTCTGTTACTAATAAATCAAAAACTGAAAATAAATAAATATATAAAATAAAAAATAACAATAAATAAAAAGCAAGCAAAATAAATTAACCCAAATAAATAAATAAATAAACCATTCAAGCCAAAATAACCATCAGCATGGACTACCCACAATGAACCACTTACCCATATACATAAATAGTTGAGAAAAAACCCAACACACATGGCCTGATGATTGCATCTAGCATGAAACAGCCTGTCACCTCTGAGTGCTGATTTCAATGTTCACTTTATATATATATATATATATATATATATATATATGTGTGTGTGTGTGTGTGTGTGTGTGTGTGTATATTATACAGCAAAAATCCCAAATTACCTCACGTGGGTATAACCTATTTCAAACTGGCACAACCTTGTGCCAGTCCACTTACACCTGTCTCAAAATCAGGGATTTGGAATTTGATTTAGATAGCAGTTGAAAAAAGATACAAACCTAACCAAAGTGATGCCACATCAAGATAAAGAGGCCGAGTTGGTGGTAAGGGGAGGGCATATGTTATCTCTCTAAAGGGAGAGAGGGTCTCTGGAATCAACCCAGATATTTACTTTATGATCCTAGGTTTAGGTTATATGAAGTGTGAGGTGTTGTACTGAAACTAAAAGAGAGGCCAAAATGGGAGTTTATTTATGACCAATGTCTTTAATTATATATAAAAGAATTTAGGTTCCCTCTAGGGAATACCAAATTATATCAACAATAAATTGTATTTAGACAATTAATATCAACAAAGGATAGAATTAAGGATTTTATATTAAGTAATGGGGGATTTAAAGATAAAACAATTTAAAGTTTGAATAGATTATCCATTTATCTTATTAAAGATCAGTTAAATTATTAGGAAGACAAAGCTATACCTGAAATTCTTTAAGAGAAAAATATTAAAGTAAAACTTTAATCAAAATGGGAGGAAGTTACATCAATTATGGAACTGTTATAAGACAGGATTAATATGGAGAATAGAGGAAAATTATAGAAGTTAATTATCATTATATATTTAACATTAGGGAGTGGGGTTGGGTGTTAGTAAGTAATAAGGTAAAATCTATGTTCTTATATAAGTTTAAACTTGCTACTATGTCTACATTTTAATACTAGTTCATTCCTTTGATTTAATAGTTTGTATTGATTATTGTATTTTATTATTTTAATTTTTCCTCTAAAAATAGACTGCACCTATCTTTAAAACTATTAGGAGTATGAGTGAAACCTATCATTTTCCAATCTGTATGAGTGTTCAAACCTTTTTCCTTAAATTCCCAAAATTTCTTTGAAAGGGCTGTTTGATATTTTAATTTAGGATTGGTAAAGGAATTCCTATGGGATTAAAATCTCTGTTTCCATTCTCCAGCAGAATTCCAAGGCAATCATTATAATTTGTCATATTTTCTTTAGGGACAATGGTTGCTTAGTATATTACCTAGTCTACTACCTGTACTATATATTTTGTATCCTTAAAGAAGGTTACAAACAGACAAAGATGGTACTCAAGTGAAAGAAACAGCAACTCGGGCATAGATGAAAGAAAGGTTTATTGTAAAATAGAATACACTATGGAAAGACAGGGAATCGGTTAGTAGGCTAATAATTCTCAAAGCAAGTCAGATAGGTATATCCTGTGCTCACTATATATATATGTACTGATATAATCAGTCCACATATGTGATAGGGGAGTGTGACACATTCCATTACAACTATATATATATATATATATATATATATATATATATATATATATATATATATATAAAATATGAGTAAGGGGCTGAAAAGTTCTTTGTCTGTCCAAGCTTTTCTAAAATAAAATATATGTTGGACATTTTTCAGATTTTTTGGGAAGTGGTCCAAGTGAATATTTTTTTTCCCCGTACATAAAAATATATATATATATATATATATATATATATATATATATATATATATATATATATATCTGTGTTGTAGACATACTGAAGATAAACACAGAAGTAGAGGTGGGGGAAACAGCAAGTAATATGTTTAACAGATTTGAGTGAATGGATTGAAGAACAAGGACAAAGAGGTCAAATGTTACTTTGAGCAACAAAAAGAAAGATAGTTGTGATTATTCAATTGTTGATTATGTTGAAACTTTAACCGAGTATTAAATATTTTCTCTTCCTGAGAAAGAGACCATTTTTATTGATTTTTAGTGATTTGCATTTTGTAAAATGTCTGTGTTCTTCACACAAACATTTGTCTGTTACCAGTGAAGAGTTTCAGTTGAAAAATGTTTAAAAGGGAGAAATTATGGTGGTTGCAAATGATAGTATCTTCATTTAACAACATTTCAAACTATTTTGCAAATGTAAAAGAAAAAAATAAAGTACAAATTTCAACAACAGGTTCAGATTTGTCTAAAGATTTTAAAGTCTAGCCTCTTCAAATTATTAACGTTATATTGACATGATTCAATCTTATATAAAAAGAAATCCTCCTTTTGTTCTTTCTGATTTTTCTAGTTTGATATTTTAAATATTTTTCCATAAAATTACTGTTTAGGTCTTATGATATTAATAAATAGTAGCATATATATATATATATATATATATATATATATATATATAAAATAATATTATTATTTAAAAATATATATTCATTGTGACTAAAAACTAAACTTTAAATTTAAATTAAAGTGTTTGTTCCATTCTCAGGTGATGTTGAATAACTTTAAAAAAATGATTGACTTTTTTTAAGCTAAATAGCATTATATGGTTTAAGCTGGAGAGGGAATGGGATTACAAAATTTTAAAATAGTATTGTTTTTTGGGGATTTTTTTTGGATGAATCAGGATACATGAGTTACGCTAGTGGTGAGGAATAATATATATATTTATTAATATATACTTAATAGCCCTGTTATATTACATTGAGGACTGATTTATTAACACCAGCACTCCAGGTACTATACACACACACACATATATATATATTTAACAAGATGTAGTTGAAATGTTCTCAATCCATCTAAGAAAGAATTCAAAAAAGATTAATGTATAATCTATTTGATCAGATTTTGGAAAGTGAGTAAGACTTATATCTGAATTACTTCTGTCAAAACATTACAAAGAGGTAAACGGAAAAGTTCTAAGCACAACTGACTTCTAAAATCTGACCAAAGATTAAATCTCTTTCTTTGTTTGGTATCAGAATTTTTCATGAACTCTCATAAATGTATATAAAAGCAAGCAAGAAATAGTATGGTTATTGAAATCAACACTGCACAAGCTTACAGCCATATCTCACTGAAACACTGGATTTTCAAGAGATTTTTATATTTTTTGTTGGCTTACTGCCACATCATGCTGAAACACTGCTTTCCATATGATCACTAAAGTTAAGCAATGTTGAATCTGGTTAGTACCTAGATGGGTGACTGCTTAGAAATACCAGGTGCTACAAGCTTGGATGTGCAGGTGGTATAATTGATAATAGCTTGTAATTATTAATCACAGAGTAGAGTTCCAATTCCAATTGCGTTTGTTATATTCCCTTACACTCAAATAACCTTGAGAAAGGTATGAATCCACCAAGTCTCCCCGGGTGAAAGTGCTCAATGCTGTATATTGATAGCCTGTTTCATGCTTCAATCCAATCTTGAAGCCATGTCCTGAAAATTGTGTTGAAGCATAAAATAGATTGTTGCCATTAGTGTTCACCTCAGTCTACATTTACATATGAATATAAGTATCAAATATTGCACAATGTGTGCTGGTGGTAATAAAAGAGATCACTGTAAAATAACAGTTAAAACTTATTGTATTACTAATATTACACATTTTTTTTTAACCTCACCATTTGGTACAACTGAACTTCAGATTGATGCCTACATGAAACCAAGGGTGGTACTAAATAGTGAAGAACAAAAATGTATATTTATTATTAATTATATATATATATATATATATATAGGTGAGGGCTGTAAAATTAGGTATATAGTATGTAAATCAATACAATACATAAAAGTAAGTAATGAATACAATATATTTTGTGTGTATGTTTTGTTTTTCATTACTATATACCTCTTTTTGCATCTCCTATATATCTCTTTAGATATATCAAAGGCCAATGACAAGGTGTGGCATTGATGACTGCTACATAAATTCTCCAGCTATATAATCTCTGGAAGGGCTTTATCAATTATCAACTCCTTAACATGTAGGTCCATGAAGGATGTTGTTAATAACCAGTCATCAGAAGCTCATGGTATTCCTCAAGGTTCTCTCTTCAGTTCTACCCTCTTTCTGCTCTATATTAATGATATGCCCAAGGACATACTCTGATCATTAGTGAATATCTTATACAGATGATATAACAGTTTATAGAAGCATCTGGATGATCAGAACCTGGCAATTGATCTCCCCTGCAACCTTACGGGGAGGGGTGGGGGGTAGAAGAACTGGCTTTAAAATTCAATAAATCCAAAAGCAAACTGATAAAATTACACTATTACCAAGCAAACCCTAGACTTTCACCTACCATGGTGGGTGGGTGTTCTCTCAATGAGGATTCTTGTCTTGAATGTTGAGCTAATCCCAGACCTTAAGTCAAACTCATTCCATAAAGATGCTGGAAAAATGGGAGGTCCATTGTACGATATTATACTGTTTCAGTAAGTATCTGACTCCCTAGGCTATACTCCAACTAGGCTATATGGAAGTAGATCAGCCCAGAAATACAGTACTGCTGTTATATATATGGGCTGGAGCTGCCCAGACCTTACTTGCCTGTCCTGAATGAGTTCAAAATCATCTACACGGACTTGTGGGTGATGAATCATTTTCCACCCTTCCCCACAGATGAAACATCTCAAGCCTCTAACTTCTCTATCCCTATTTTCATGGCAAGTATTCTGATGTGTTACATCCCTGTTTTCCACCATGCCACATAAATGAAGATGAATCAGCCTCATTTTCTTCATATTCTATTAGTAAAAAGTAAGTTTCAATTGAATTCTTTTCATGAATTGCTGTTTTCTGAAACAGACTCCAAGCAGGATGTTTTCTTAATCACTACACTCATGACATCTTCAAATCTAGGATTAGCTGTTATTTTTCCTGTATAACCACATGAACTTCACTTGCCCTTTTCTCATGGTCATACAACACCACACAGTAACCATCTACCTTGAGTGGCTCTTATAAATACAAGAAACGTTAGTAAAATAAGTAAACATTAGCATAAAAAATAGTGTATTTAGATTGTTCTGAAAATATGACAAGCATATGCGTAACTAAAAGTTTCACAATAATTGAGCATGCAATATAATCAATCTGTGCTTCGATAGAACCAATTCCATTTTAAGCATCTTTTGACCAGTGTCCACTTATACATTTGAATATATATATATATATATATATATTTAATTTCGATAAACGTGCAATCAATTTACAAATTCATGAATTATTCACACAAAAACAAATGCAAAGGTTAATGATTTAATTGGTGAGATATCCATCGTCGCAAACAATTCAAATAATATACAAAAACCTCCGAACCTGTTATGAATGAAAAGATCCTTGTTTCTATAAATTTCTGCTGCAGAAATTTATAGAAACAAGGATCTTTTCATTCATAACAGGTTCGGAGGTTTTTGACTGACTCTATCCCGCCACTAGGTTGGGTTGAGTCCTTGAGCAAGTCTTCACAACCCCTAAACTCTCAATGCCATAAAGCCAGTGAACAATTTCAATATTGGGGGGAATAGGGAGTCCCTAGCTGCAGTGAAGGCAACTCATTTAAGAGAAAGAAAACTAATGTAAAATCAGGTCTGTGACTACTGATGGTCCCCTAGCTGGTGTATACTACCAGTAGCCATAGACCCTATAGGGTAGTTTTAAACTCTTTAACTTTTTAGCAACAGGACTGGTCACTCTGATTTAAAACCCGCAATCAGTTCAGCACCTGGAATTTTGCATTCCATGCACCAGTGCAGGTTATGCTGTTTTGATGCAAAGAGTGTGCATTGTGCTGCACAACCAATGACCTCTATAAAGACATCACATACAGATTGTTCAGTAAACATCACCAAGATGTTTCATTCTCTTGAAATCCTGTGGCAATAAATGGATAGTGATGGGAACTTGTGGAGTATCACTGGAAATTCCCAGCTTGAACTTTGCACATGGGTGGTGAAGGGTAGATGGCCATAGCAGCCATTTTTAGGGTGATGCTGCTTTCCTCTGAGGAAGGGATGATAAAAAAAATGAGAGTCGCTCCTCTCTCAGTCATTAGGTGCAAATGACTGGGCAACCAAAACTGCACCAGAATGATAAAGCAATCAAACAAAAAATTTTTTCATTGGGTCTTCGAATGTGAGAACTCTCCAGGATAGTATGAAAAACCTTGAATGTAAGATTGATTGCCTGCATCTTAAAAAAGAAAAACATCGGCATAGCTGCTCACTTGGAAACTAGACTCACTGATTTTGGTCAGCTACATGAAGTTGAAGTGAATAAACTTTTTTCTGGATTGGTAAGGCTAAAATAGCTAAGACAGAAGCAGGTATCAGGTTTGCTATTCAGAACAACCTGGTGAAACATCTTGAATCTCTACCTGTTGGCATCAATGAGAGACTTATGTCCTTGTGTATTTGCATTGGTAGAAATAAGTATACAGCCATCTTTATTTGCTATATTCTAGTAACCATGTAGTCTAGTCATGAGATTAAGGAGCATTTCTACTCTGAATTATGCAACCAGTTAAGAAATACCTCCATCCATGACAAACTTCTCCTAGGTGATTTCAGTACACATATAAGTTGTGATACATCATGTAAAAATGTCTCATTCATTCACCATTGATGAATGTTGGTCTAACTATAGATTAATATGATTTAAGGTTAGCTTCACTATCCATACTCCAATTTGTAACACCTGTGCTCTTCCAGCTCAAAGAGTAGATGTGAAAAACCTCAGCAACACTGACAATTTAAAATCCTTTGTGACAGTAAGCTTTCAGATATCTTGGACAATGCAGATATTGAATCAACATGGTCTGTTTTCAGACTGTATATGAGTCATGCCAGGTAACATTTGGCTATGCCAAGAGGAAACATAAATGATCCAAGCATTTCCCCTCTTTTGTATAATAATGTGCAAGTGTCATCGTCAATGGATGTCAGAAAAGAATAATGTGACTAAGTGCAACAAGTTTAAGGAAACCAGAAAACTTATATCAATTTCAGATACAGCAAATGAAACAAACATGGTGGTGAGTGAAGGTACAGGAATTGCAGGATACTACTGATAGATGTGACTTTAAATTATTCTATCAGAATCTAAAGGGTATCTTTGGACCTGTATCACAATGGCTTGATTCTCAGCATTTCTTTTAACATACAAAAAAGAGATCACTAAATGCTAGGCAGAGCATTTCTCTAATGTTCTAAACATTGAATTGAATGTTGAAGATGCCTATTCTTGAATGACTATCAGCTACTACATCTGTTGCAGAGATAAAAAAAAAGTCATAAAACAACTGACAAATGGAAGGTCCTCTGGTAATGATGGCATACCAGCAGAGATATACAAATGTGGCATTTCTCCTGGTTCATAAACTTTGTTATCTCTTCTCTTTAATCTGGGATTAAGAGTTTAAAGAACCTTATGTTCTCCATCTTTATAAGCACAAAAGTCAACAATTACAGATGTGACAACCATAGCATCTCCTTTTTGTGTGTTGCCAGGAAAATTCTTGGCAGTGTCATTTTAAACAGACTCAACTTCTGGTCATTTCAGACTTGTCTGAATCTCATTGTGGTTTTTAGTCTGGTAGAAGCACTGTAAACATGATTTTCAGTTTGAAGCAACTACAATAGAAAGTATGAGAGCATAACAGGGGCCTCTTTATTACTTTTGTTGATTTCATTAAGGCCTTTGATATGGTTTCCATAGATACTCTTTGGGTCGTCCATAGGAAGTTGGGTGTTTCTGCAAAGATACTCAGTGTCATCATGTTTTTCCATCAGAGGATGATGGCCTCATTTAGATGCAATGGAGAATTGTCCAACTCATTCATTGTCTCTAATGGAACTTGCACCTCTCTTATTTGCTTTGTATTTTGCTGTCATACTGGAAATGGCATTTGACAATGTTAAAAAAGGTATAAGATTTGACTTTAGGACAAATGGTGGGTTGTTCAACCAACAACGCTTCAAAGCAAGGACTAATGCAATTGTACAAACTGTTTGTGACCTGCTCTTTGCAAATGATTGTGCACTTGTAGCCCACACCCTTGAGTACATGCAATAGATCCTTAACAATTCCTCTCATGCATCTAAAACTTTCAGTCTGACCATCAGCATAAAAATAAGAAACTTGTCCATCAACCTATCTATAACCATCCTCCAACTGTTGATCCCACTGTTTTTGTTGATGGAAAAGCACTGAAAACCATTTTATC